AGTAACTGGTGATCTTCGAGTGGTCATCTGTGCATTCACACCGCCCGCCCTCCTTCCCCTCTGCTGTCAGCTCCTGATTTTTTGATAGGTGGTGATTGGCGGCGGTGCTTTTAGTCTCCCATTGGTGTGAAGCACAGAGACCACGAAGGAGATAAACAGGTTGCTTACCAGGGACTGGTGATCTTCGAGTGGTCATCTGTGCATTCACACCGCCCGCCCTCCTTCCCCTCTGCTGTCAGCTCCTGATTTTTTGATAGGTGTTGATTGGCGGCGGTGCTTTGAAGGAACTGGCGGGATCTCCGCGCCCGTCCCCTCTGGGCATGCGTGCTGGGGTTCCTGCGCATGCTCAGTGGGACTCGCGCGAAAATCCTTTGAAACATAGCTTGCTACGGCACCGGTTGGGTCAGCGCAGGCGCACTAAACCCATTGGTGTGAATGCACAGATGACCACTCGAAGATCACCAGTTACTGGTAAGCAACCTGTTTTTACTCTATTTTTTTTTAAAAGTTTGAGTCCAGTGGAACCTTTTAAGACCAACAAAGTTTTATTCAAGGTATGCGCTCATACCTTGAATAAAACTTTGTTGGTCTTAAAGGTGCCCCTGGACTCAAACTTTGTTCTACGGCTTCAGACCAATGTGGCTGCCCCACCTGGATCTAATTTTTTTTAACTCTCAGTTCTGAGAACTTAGGTCTATTCACGGCATCCAGAGCTCCTTCATGAAAGGAATACTGTCCGCAACCAAGCAAAGGGCTGCCTCCAGATTAAACTGGCTATTTCAACCAATTTCCACTGCAGTCTCCCCCCCCCCCCATGTCATTCTTAAGGATCCCCTGGACCATTGTGTGGAGATTAACAGAATGGGAGAGGCAGGAAGGTTCCATTATGCTGATGGAAAATTTAGCCTGGACCCAACCCAAAGGACGTAATATATGACCCAAACACATCTCTAGATACGGTTTCTGAGTGGCAACGTCCGGGATCACTGCCAGGAATTTCCAGATGAATCCATAAATCAGGGCCGGCCCAAGGCTTTTTGGTGCCAAAGGCAAGCTATAAGCCTTGGCACTCCAACCCCCCCCCCCTTTGTCTTATACTTCTCATTCATAAAAGGCTTTGCTGGTCCCAGGAGGAAGTGGAAGATCCACTTTCCTATTACCCCTTAAAAACCCAAGCAAGGGCCCTGTGGGAAATCCCTTCCTTGCTGCAACCTGCCTCCTCACCTTATATGCCACGCTGGGCCCAGAGAAGGCAGGGTGCTGCCTGAGCACGCCAGGCCCAGGGTAAGCTACATGCTGCCCAGGCACCTGCAGTCTGGGAAAGGTGACCCCCCCTCCCGGACCTGGCCCTGCCACGGAACATCGCACCTGGTTAAGTAGCACCTGGTTGTGGCCAGGCCCCACTCTGCAGGCAGCCCTCTGAAAGCCAGTTTGGTGTAGTGGTTAGGAGAGAACCAGGTTTGATTCCCCACTCCTCCACATGCAGCTGCTGGTGTGAACTTGGGTCAGTCACAGTTCTCTCAGAGCTGTTGTCTCCAGAGCAGTTCTCGAAAGAGCTCTCTCAGCCCCACCCACCTCACAGGGTGTCTGTTGTGGGGAAGGGAAAGGAAAGGAGTTTGTAAGCCACTCTGAGAGTCTGAGTGAAGGGGGGCGGGGTATAAATCCAATCTCCTCTCCTTTTTCATTAGTCATCCAGGCCTTCTGCCACCCCTCCACCTCTGTTGCCCTAGGCAATCGACTAAGTGAGACTAATGGACGGACCGGCACTGCCAGCAATACACTACATCATACATTCTGTTCTTTATGAATCGTTCAGCTAGGAAGGAGTAATCCCTGGCTGGCCTACTTAATTCCCCCTCTTTCCTAAAATAAAAATCCTCTTCTGTTGTGTCATTCTGTCAAGAAGCTTTTCATATTTGGAGCTTTTGTCTAAGAAAGGAGTTGGGGGCTGGGCAAAACACAAATTGAAAAAGTCCCTCTACCAATAGGTGGTTTTACCTTTTGTAGTGATATGATTTCAGTCTTTTCATAGAGAGGGCTGTTCTGGGAAAGGAAGGCCATCACTTGCAGCAAGGCATGCTGGGTACAATTCAAGCTGACTCGGGTCTGTTCTTCCCCATCAACCCTTGGAAAATTTGTTAACAGACATGCTTTAAAAAGGATAGCAGTTAAAGGCAGCTAGGATCTTAAGAACTTGACCTAGTCCCTGGACTACACCGACAGGGGAAAAGTACAAAGCCACCTGCCTTCGGTTAGATGAGGAAAAAAGAGCACTAATTTTAGGATAGCAGTTAACAGAATGCAAAATCTCTTCTGCTGGACGAGCAGTACAAGGAATTTGCCCTGACCTGGATGACCGGGGCTAGCCCGATGTCATTAGATCTTGGAAGCTAAGCAGGGTCGACCCTGGTCAGTATTTGGATGGGAGGCCACCAAGGAAGTCCAGGGTCCCATATGCAGAGGCAGGCAATGGCAAGCCCCCTATGAACGTCTTTTGCCTTGAAAACCCTATGGCGCGGGTCCCTAGCGTGGTGTCCGTGGGTGCCTTGGTAAAATGCTGGCTACTCACAGTTACCCTGTTCACGTTAACAGACATATATGCCCACCTGACTTGTGAATACCAGCATGAAAGGAAAGCCCCTGCATAGCTTGCACCTTTCCTGGTGCCCACCAAGTGTTCTTAGAAAGTGGCTGGGGCCAGGTAGGGCTTTTCTCTAGCAAGGCTTCTAACTGGCCGTGCAGATTTTTTTAAATGTCATTTTGGCAGAAGTTGCCTCCACAGCCCAAGGATCTTCCCTGTGTGACTGAAGGTAAGCAGCAGCAGCCATTCTGTGGCTGCGCCCATCACACTGTCAGAATTCCAGAGGTGCCCACGGGGTCAAAAAGTGGGGGGACCCCTACCCTATGGGGTCGCCACAAGTTGGCTGCGATTTGATGGCACTTCCCCCACCACGGGGAATTATGTTAACACCAAGTTAAACACCTTAGCAAAACTATCGATGAATAAGATGAAACAACTAAACCAGACCGACAAAGTTGGAGTCCGGGGGCACCTTTAAGACCGGCAAAGTTTAATTCTGGGTATAAGCTTTGGTGTGCAAGCAGCCCTTCCTCAGATTCAGTTGGTCTTAAAGGTGCCACTGCACTCAAACTTTGTTCTGTTGCTTCAGACCAACATGGCTGGCTACCCACCTGGAGATTTCTAGGGTATAAGCTAAAATCGAACAAGACTTCTAGAGCTGGAATCCCTTTGTCAGATTCCAAGACAAGAATGGAACAGACGGACGCCGACCTGACCTGCGAATACCAGCCTGAAAGGAAAGCCCCCTGCATAGCCTGCAACAGTACCTGGCAGGGACAGCTGCAACGAGGGACACACCTGGCATCTCACGCAGCCCTGGCAAGACGGTTTCCGCAGAGCAAGAGCTAAATTCAATCCGGTAACCCCCCTTGGTAGGGTAATTAGAAGCGGTGGACGAGTGCAAAGGCGTAGTGGTACAGGAACCTAAGAAAAAGAGAGAAAGGAAAATGAAAACAATATTTACTGAAGCACATCTGGCAAAACTCTACCACCAGCTAACTCTCATAATTTAAGGATTAGAAGAAGAGGAGATTGGATTTATACCCCGCCCTTCACTCGGAGTCTCAGAGCGGCTTACAATCTCCTTTCCCTTTCCCGTCCCCTCCCAACAAACACCCTGTGAGGTTGGTGGGGCTGAGAGAGCTCTTTTGAGGACTGCCCTTGAGAGAACAGTTCTGAAAGAACTTATGACTGACCCAAGGTCACACCAGCAGCTGCATGTGGAAGAGTGGGGAATCAAACCTGGTTCTCCCAGTCCCAGATTAGAGTCTGTGCTCCTAACCACCACACCAAACTATACCAAACATTTCACCCATTATCTTAACATTTCATATACGTACTGGTAGAATTTCATGATCATATTTCAATGCTTTATAATCACCGTCTGGAGTATGCTTTATAAGCACAGGCAGGCAATGCAGAAAACAATATTATAAGAGCAATATCTGAATCTGGTAGCACCATAAAGATCAAGAAGATTTTCAGGATATAACAGTCAGATACCCGAGGAAGGCAACTTGGACACTCAAAAGTCTGTACCTCGGAAATCGTGTTGGTCTTTAAGGTGCTTCTGGGTTCGAATCTCACTCTTCTACTGCAGGCCCAACAAGGCTACCCATCTGAAACAATATTATGATAAGATATGGGAGGAAAACAATACCCAGCTAGCATGTAATGGAGACAGGTTCTAGCTAGTCTAGCTACGATGCCCCTGTAGTCTGGGTGCTAGTGAATCCATTTCCCGTGTTCTATTAAATTGTCCATTATACATTAAGATTCAAGAAAAATTTCTGAACTCCCTTCTCCATACATGGTGTGGCCTCCCTGACAGTGTCAAGGTTCAGCGGTTACTTTCAGGACACAACTCGCTCATAACCTCTAACGTCACCTGTTTTCTCCAGTCTGCAGTTCAATTCAGGGGAGCTATTTATTTATTTATTTATGTTTGGATTTATATCCCACCCTACCCCGAAGGCTCAGGGCAGCTGACAAGGGCACTATGTGCCAAGGTTATAACAATAAAACACATAATATAAAACAATAATTTACAATAAAATATAGTAACAAATTTACAATACAAATTTAACCAAGATGGGTAGATCTTAACCTCCATAATAACTTCCTGAGATCTTGTCATCCAATCCCTGCCCGGACACCTCGCTCCCCCCAGTGGGGTCCAGATAATCATGATGGTAATACAACAGTGCATAGGAGGCGAAGGTGGAATAGTAGTGGCGGCGGCTCCTACTCAAAGGCCTGGCGGAAGAGCTCTGTCTTACAGGCCCTGCGGAACTGAGAAAGGTCCCGCAGGGCCCGGATCTCTTCCGGGAGCTCTTTCCACCAGGTAGGAGCCACCACCGAAAATGCCCTGAAATTGAAAATTGATCTATTTCATTTTAGTTGGCCTTACTATGGCTTTGTGACCTCAATGCATTTGTTAAAATTTTAATGTACTTCTATCTTTGACATGCCAATAAAGGTTGTCTGTCTGTCTGTCTACTTCCTTTATTTACTTTGAATGCTTTTCACTCACTTCTTGGTCCGAAAGATCTGCAAAACAGCTTACCAAAAAAAGGCAGCAAAAATACCTTTTTTAAAACATGCAAGAAGACCAAATCGGCAATAGCAAAAGACATTTGCCTTGCATCAAGACAAGACTCTCGAACATTAATCTATCATTTGACTGGGGCTGTCTCACCGAGTCCTTTGGCAAGCCAGGCGTTGACGCCGTGAGGTGCGGCGTCGTAGGCCGTGTGGGGAGAGTAAATACCGACTCGGTTTTCCAGAGCTCGGATCACCAGGCGCTCTTTCCACGTTTGCCACGTTACACGCTTGAGGGGTTTGAAAATGGGAGGATGATAGGAAAGAATGAGATCAGCTTCCTTCTGCAGGGCCTCTTCCATCACATCCTCCGTGAGGTCATTGGTTAGGAAGAGAGTGTTCACCACGTGGGGAGGGCTGGGCTCGACCAGGAGGCCCACGTTGTCCCAGCTTTCGGCCAGCGAGAGCGAAGCGAAGCCGTTCAGCGAAGAAACCAGGGCTTTTAGATCCATGAAGGCTTGGGACCTCAAATCAGTCAAGGACCGTACGTGCAAGAGCTTCCGGGGAATCCGTTTCAGAAAGGACAGTGGCATGCAGATTTCTAAGGAACCAAGAAGGCACGGAAAACAATTGGGAATACTGAAGAGGAGGAAACCACAGTGTAAAAGTGCTATTACAGAATGGCAACCGTTTTCAGGCACTAGAATGACTTCTGCTCAACGCAGGGCTGAGAACAAATGGTTCTATGACATGGCAGGTTATTTTTCGGGCACCCCATTTTCTTTGCCTGCCTAAACGTACAGATTCCTGTCCATATATGGGCACGTGACATGGGCCCATATTCCCTTCTAATAAGCAAATATCCCGCTTTTGCATGGGAGGACAGGGACCTCCTGGCCCCACTGCTGGACCTCCTGATATCACCTAAGATTTTCGGCTACTGTGTGACGGAGTGTTGGGCTGTTTGGGCCACTGGCCTGATCCAACACTGGCTATTCTTACGTTCTTGTGGTTTGCTTTAACCATAGTACAGCAATACACTTGTATTGATGCAAACCATGGTTAGCGTTGATAAGATTCCTTTGTAACCAGGGCTCACAAGTGGACCTTTAAGCCCTCACTTCAACTTGAGTTTCTGGGGCTGTCCATCAACACAGATCGACATCATGGCTGAAATACACCATGGAGGAGGGAAGGGAAGTGCAGAAGGCTACGGCACATTCCACAACTCCTAACTGTGTTTAAGAGACTGGACATAAGAAGAACCCTGCTGGATCAGACCAGTGGTTGATCTACTCCAGCATCTTGTCTCCACTCTCCGGAGCCCCCATTTTCTCCAGGAGAACTGATCTCTGTAGTCTAGAGATGAGCTGTAATTCTGACGGATCCCCAGTTCCCACCTGGAGGCTGGTATCCGTAGTTGGGATTTGGGGATGGAGCCTGGGCAAGAGAGGAACCTCAGTGGGATACAATGCCGCAGAGTCCACCCTCCAAAATATCCCTTTTCTGCAGGCGAACTGATCTCTGTAGCCTGAAGGTGAGCTGCAATCCCCGGGGATCCCCAGGTCCCTCCTGGAGGCTGGCATCCCTACCTCTATGGCCTTACACTCCTACTGACCTCCCGCTCCTCCTCAAACGTCACCCTCCCCAGGTGCTGCCTCCAAATCTCCAGGGATTTCCGAAACTGGAGCTGGCCACCGACCCCCATTGCAGCTGGAGGTCCGGTTAGGCACAAGAATAGGAGCCGAGCCTTACTCCCCAAATAGTAATTAAAAAGCACCAAAAAACCGCCCAAACACACCAATTATGGGTGCCAGCCTCCAGGTGGGGCCTAGGGATCTCCCGGAATTACAGCTCATCTGCAGGCCAGAGAGATCAGTTCCCCTGGAGGAAATGGATGCTTTGGAAGGTGGGCTCTGCGGCATTCAAATAAGGTGGGCTCTGCGGCATTCAAATAAGGTTGCCAGATCACTCCAGGCCACTGGCGGGGGATTGTGGGAGAGGGTGGCCAGATCCAGGTCGGGAAACTCCTGGAGATTTGGGGGTGGAGCCTGGGGAGGACGGGGACCTCGGTGGGGGGTAAAGGTAAAGGTTTCCTTGCTCGAAAGCCAGTCGAATCCGACTCTAGGGTTGCGGTGCTCATCTCCGTTTCAAAGCCGAAGAGCCAGCGCTGTCCGAAGACGTTTCCGTGGTCATGTGGTCGGCATGACTAAACACCAAGGCGCACGGAACGCTGTTACCTTCCCACCGAAGTGGTACCTATTTATCTACTTGCAATTTCTTGCTTTCGAACTGCTAGGTTGGCAGTGGGGGGTACAATGCTGCAAAGTTCACCCTCCAAAGCACCCATTTTCTCCAGCGGGAAACTGATCTCTGCAGTCTGGAGACGAGCTGCAATTCCAGGGGAGGAGGGTTGCCGGGTCCCCCCTAGCACCCAGCAGGGGATAAGGGGGTAGGAGTACTACATCCAGGTCGGGAAACCCCTGGAGATTTGGGGGTGGAGCCTGCGGGGGACAGGGACCTCGGTGTGTGTGTGGGGGGGGCCCAATGCCCCAGAGCCCACCCTGCAGAGCATCCATTTTCTCCAGGGGGACTAATATCTGCACTCTGGAGATGAGCTGCAATTCCGGGGGGTCCCCAGGTCCCACCTGGAGGCTGGCGTCGCATCCCACTGAGGGGTCCCCGTCCTCCCCAGGCCCCATCCCCAAATCTCCAGTTGATCCCCCACCCGAATATGGGGGCGGGCCGCCCCACAAGGCCCTTCAGCCCCTCCTCGGGTGGTCCCGCAACCCCTCCAAGCTCGCCGCAGCGTTACCTTCCGAGCCAGGCGGGAGAGCGAGCGAGAGGGAGGCCTCCGAGATCCGGCGGCCTCGCCTCCTTCCTGGCTCCTCCTCCGCTCCCAGCGTGCTCTCCTGGTCGGGAAGATGCCGGTGCTGCAAGCCTCGGCTAGGCGGGGAAGCGAGCAGGCGCTGTCGTAGCCGCCGAGGCGCTCGTGAGTCTCCCGGGGCTGGGAGCCAGCGCGGGGAGGCGCTTTATTGCGGTCGGTGGGAAGGTTTTGCTGGGGTGGGATGGGAAGGGGCCACCACGGTTGGGGCTCATGCAGAACGGCTCCCGGGAGCCCGGAGATTTGGAGATTTAGAGATTTGGAGATTTGGAGATTTGGAGATTTGGAGATGGAGTTTGGGGAGGACGGGGACCTCGGTGGGGTACAAGGCCGTAGTCTTGGGGTTGCCAGGTCCACGTTGGGAAACTCCTCGAGATTTGGGGGGATGGAGCCCGCGGAAGCACGGAGCCCGCAGCCGGGTGCAGTTCCGCAAAGTCCACTTTGCAAAGCATCCATTTTCTCCAGGGGGACTGTTGTTCTCTGTAGTCTGGAGATGAGCTGGACCTCCAAGGGATCCGATCCCCAGGTCCCACCTGGAGGCTGGCATCCAAATTAAAAAGAGCCCACCCTCCAAAGCACCCATTATCTCCGGGGGGGGGGTGTCTAATCTCTGCAGTTTGGAGAGGAGCTGGACTTCCTGGGGATCCCCAGGTCTCACCTGGAGGCTGGCGCCCCTGTAAGAGTCCACCCTCCAAAGCATCCATTTTCTCCAAGGGAACGGATGTCTTTACTCGGGAGATGAGCTTGTAACCCCAGGGGATCCTCAGGCCATACCTGGAGGTTGGCACCCCTAATTTGTGTGTGTGTGTGTGTGTGTGTGTGTGGAGGGACTTATTTTGTATCTTGCAAAGTAGTCGATGTTGCGCTGCAGCCCTGAGGTTGGCATCCCTATTTTGGGTGTGTGTGTGTGTGTATGTGAGGTTGGCATCCCTAATTTTTGTGTGTGTGTGTGTGTGGAGGGACTTATTTTGTATCTTGCAAACTAGTCGATGTTGCGCGGCAGCCCTGCGCGCCCGCACTTAGACGTTATACTTTTTAGAACTTTATCGATCTTGAACACTTCAATCCTTTACTAGCCCATTTTGTATTTCGTTTCCCTTCACTTCTTTGCCTCTCTCTCTCTGTCTCTCTCCTGTCCGGGTCAGAGAGAAGACGAGAGCGGAGGAGGACAGCCGTCCGGGAGCGGGCGTTTCTCTCCGTCTCGCCTTCCATGGCCGCTCGAGCCATGGAGCAGCCGGAGGGCGGCGGCGGCGGCGACTCCCTCTCGGAAGAGGAGGACTTCGAGGCTGCCCTCCTGGCGGACGGGGACCTTCGCGGCGGGATCGCCGAGTCGCCCTGCTGGGAAGCGCGAAAGCCCGCGAAGAGGCGCCGCCTGCAAAAGACGACTGGGGAGCCCGACGCCCGCTCGAGCCCGCCGACCAGCGGCGACGGCAGCCATTTTACGCGCCCAGGCGAGGCCCGCGGAGAGGGACCTTCCCGGCCTGCGGAACAGCCAGGCGTCTCGGGGACCGGCCAGAAGGGACGGCAGCCGCCCATTTCAGCCTCCGTTGAGCCCTCAGCCTGCCCCAGAGACTCCGTGCCGGGTCCAGGGATGGGGACTAACGTGGCTCAACAGGGGCCCCTCCATGTCTCGCCTGAATTTTGCTCGTGGGTGAGGCAGGCGGTGAGGGAAGAGATGGAGAACCTCTTCGGACGGGGACGTGTGAGGCCAGACAGTGCACCCTCTCCGCCTTCCTCCTTTCCGTCCCTCCCCAGACGCGACAGGTCAGGAGGCTCCCTGATGGCTGCAGGAAGAATTAGAGGTCCCACTAGTACAGTGGCACAAAAGGAATCAGGCAGCAGGAAAAGATGCAGGGACGGCCCCCTGAGGGGTCCCGATCCCTCTTCCGAGAGCCATATAGATGACAGGGAGGAGGAAGAAGAAGATACAAACATCCCTGCGCAGTCCGCCAGGTTTTTTAAGGCAGAGGACTACCACTATCTCCTGTCTAAGACACTGGCCGCGTTAGACTTGCGGGAAGCGCAGGGGGGAGAGGAACAGACACCCACAGCGCCGGGTTTAAGGCGCAGGCCAGAGGGAAAGGAAGAATTTCCCCGTAGATCCGGTACAACCGAGAAGGTCTTCCCCTTCCCGGAGTTCCTTGAGAGACAGCTAAAGGCAGAATGGTCCAAACCTATGGCTAATAGGCGGTTCCCGGGCTTCGTTAAAAAATTGTATGCCTTACCAGCGTATGCCGATGAGTTCTTACAGGTTCCCCGGGTTGATGCTGCTGTCGCAGCGTTGCAGTCGGAAGATGGTCACGGATCCCTCAAGGATAGCGCGGCCAAAAGAGTTGACTTTGCGCTCAGGAAAACGCACGAGGCCTTGGCCATGGCCATCAGAGCGTCATCTGCGGCCTCCATTGTATCCAGAGCAGCCATAGTCTGGACCAGAAAGTTGCTTCAGTTGATTCCAGATAACGATCGCCGTCTGAATGAAGGCATTAACAGAATACTAAAGGCCCTGTCCTTCACAGCGGATGCAACCTTGGACGCCATGATTTTTTCCTCTAGGGCCATGGCCTCAGCAGTAGTGGCCAGGAGAGCATTATGGCTACGCGCTTGGCAAGCAGACGACCGCTCAAAAGACATAGTCTTAGCCTACCCATTCCAGGGGAAGAGACTGTTTGGTGACGCACTTGACAGGATCTTGGTGGAGACGCGAGACAAGAAAAAGGCCCTACCCAGAACCTTACGACACAATGACAGAAGGCCTTTGGGGAATTATTCCTTTCGTGCCCAACACGTATTACCTAAATTCAAACAGGAAGTGAGACGGTCCAATTGGAATCAGTCAAGATAGGCATTTAGATTAGCAGAGTCACCCTGTAAAGTCGTAACTGTTTAAATTTTGACCATGTTTAGTCAGAATTTTATTCTATTTTCACTTGGTAACAGCTTGTTTGAAATGTTGGCCTTTTGAACGTCTCTTTCACAATGTTATCAAATCTGTGTTCCTGAATTACTTTGTATTTGATATGGTTCTGTACTGGTTTCTATGTCCCCTCTATGGCTTTATTGCTTAGTTTGTAATTTGTTCGTTGTTGGAAAATTTGGAAATAAAAAAACAAATGAATCCCCTGGAATTTCAGCTCATCTCCAGACTACAGAGATCAGTTCCTCGGGAGAAAATGGGTGCTTTGGAGGGTTGACTCTAGGGCACTGCACCCCACAGAGGTCCCGGTCCTAATCAGGCTCCACCCCCAAATCTCCACTAGTGTCCCAACCTGGAGCTGGCAACCCTGACCCCCCCCCCCGGTGGCTAGGGAAGATCTGGCAAACTTAGGGGAAGCATAATCGTATGTACTTATTTATGAGGGCAGAAAGCAGTCCTAAATGCTGGCGTATCCGTTTGCTACTTAAAATATGTGTCAATTCATTTCACCACAAGATTAAAGAAAAGGTTCCCAGATGGAGGGAATGGTGATCCATCCACTCTCTTTCTTTCTGATTCTTTCCCCCTCCTCTTTCTGAAGGAACCTTGTGAGTTTTGTGGCTGAGCAGGGCATCTGCTGTTATTTCATTTATTATTGATTTTATTCATTTATACCCTGCCTTTCTCCCCAACACAGGGTAGCTTTCATAATTCTTCTCTCCTCCATTTTATTCTCACAGCAACAATCCTGTGAGGTAGGTTAATCTGTGACTGGCCCAAGGCCTTCCAGCAACCTTCGTTGGCAGAGTAGGGATTCGAACCTGGGTCTGCCACAACCTAGTCTGACACTCCGACCACTATACCACGATAGTTAGGGAAGAGCAAAGACCTTTAGGGCTTAAAGGTACGTTTAACGGTAGGAATTCTGCACTGAGTCCAAAATCAAAGGGATAGCTGTGTCACGGCCAAAATAGGGCTTTCTAGGTTAACAAAAACCATATTCTGGTTTACATTTTTTAAAAGTAATTTTCTATTTAACATAGTTAACGAGAATTACAATAGTGGCAAAATGTAAAACTTCAAATAATATTGATATTTCAAGAGAAAAAGCATAGCCAGTTATCATAATACAATAATTATATCTAAGCTCGATACATAGTCTTCTTTATCTGATATATATTCTAAAAAGGGAAACGATATTGAGATAAATTTAGATTGATAATCATTATTGTTTTGCTCTACAGATTCTGTTATTTTATCTGAAGTACAGAGTTCGCTAGTCTTTATTATCTGATCAGTGATCAAAAACAGTCTAGGAATCTTCCACAATTTTGCTATAGTTACTGGTTCACATTGTTGTCAGCGAGATCCCCCTTCTTCAGACGCGAGTGGATCACAAGCTATGCAGGCATTTTGATTTTTGGCCAGGATTCACTCTGCATTTGAAGGAGTGGGCTCTCTAGGCCAAGGAAATTTCTGCTTGAATAAAATCTTGAATCCAGGTGCATCGAGACTCCTGTTTCTTTTTCCATTCGGGACAGGTTTTCTGCTCGGCAGCTATGTCCCACTTCATGGTGAATGCAGCAGCAGAGTTCTGAGGCAGTAGAGCGTGCTGGCGGTGGAAAGTCCCATCCAATCACAGCCCATTTATGGCGACCCCGTAGGGTTTTCGAGGCAAGAGACATCCAGAGGTGGTGTGCCATTACCCGCCTCTGCGTAGCAACCCTGGATTTCCTTTGGTGGTCATCCAAGTACTAACAAGGGCCGACCCTGCTTAGCTTCCGAGATCTAACGAGATGGGGCTACGCTAAGCCATCCCTTCAGCTCACAGTGTGGAGTTAACGTTTTTAAAGCTGTTGTGTCATAAAGGAAGAAAAACCCTAGTATATTAGGGATAATTAGGGATAACCACGCTCCCTGTTGTTATGCTAGTTTTGCACTCATGAGGTTTCCATGTTTGGGAGCTTTCAGAAATGCGATCTGCCACCTGCAGTCTGGTTTAACAGTGCTGGGCTGCTCCTGGGGAGACCCAGGTGCAAATCCCTGGGTGTCCGGGGGGGCTAATCATTCTCCTTTAGCCTAACCTACCTAACGGGGTTCTTGAGAGGATAAAACAGAGGAGGAGAGAATGTTGTAGGCTGCCCTGAATTCCTTGGAGAAAGGTGACAAAAAAAATAAAAAGTGTTATAGTTCCCATGTTTCATTCTCTGTGTGAGAAGCAGCCATGCTGTGACTCTGAAGAATCCATAAGACACCCCCTGGTCAATCCACTGTCACAAAAGTTGGCTGTGTTTGCCTTGATATTCAGCTCATTTCTCTTTGGGGGGGGGCAACAGTGGGAGGGCTTCTGGAGTTCTGGCCCCACTTCTGGACCTCCTGATGGCACCTGGTATTTTCGGCCACTGTATGGCCGAGTGTTGGACTGGATGGGCCATTGGCCTGATCCGGCATTGGCTTCTCTTATGTTCTTAAGGTAGCTGAACTAGATAAAAGCCTATCGGCCATTTCCCCTTCATCCTTTTTCCTGTTAGTAGGGTGTCGGGATAAATGTCTCCAGGATTTCTTCGAGTGTCGCTGGGGAGGAAATGAAACTGTTTTGTTTTTGCAGAAGGCTTTCAGAGTATCAAGTGCTTTGGGTCCGTGGCCAGCACAGATGGTGAGATCGATTGTTTCTTTATCGCATTTATCTGTTTTAGTTATACCTTGCTTTTCTTCCCCCATGGAGGATCTCCAAAGTGGCATGCAATGTTGTTCTTTCCTCCTCCATTTCATACTCACAAGAACAATCTGTGCGCTAGATCAGGGTGAGGGGTGACATGATTGAGGTTTATAAGATGATGCATGGGATAGAGCAGGTAGAGAAAGAGGTACTTTTCTCCCTTTCTCACAATACAAGAACTCGTGGGCACTCCATGAAATTGCTGAGTGGTCGGGTTAGAACGGATAAAAGGAAGTCCTTCTTCACCCAAAGAGTGATTAACACTTGGAATTCACTGCCACAGGAAGTGGTTTCGGCTACAAGCATGGACGGCTTCAAAAGGGAATTAGATAAGCATATGGAGCAGAGGTCCATCAGTGGCTATTAGCCACAGGGTATAGATAGGGGCTCTGGGGCAAGTGATGCTTCTGTCTTCTTGGTGCTTGGGGGGGGTCAACAGTGGAAGGGCTTCTAATGTCCTGGCCCCACTGCTGGACCTCCTGATGGCACCTGGTATTTCTGGCCACTGTGTGACACAGAGTGTTGGACTGGATGGGCCTTTGGCCTGATCCAACATTGGCGTCTCTTATGTTCTTATGTTATGTAAGGTCTTATGAGCTGGCCTGGCCTAGATGGTGCAGGCAAGTCTGATCTCATCAGCTGACGAAAGCTAAGGAGGGTCAGCCCTGATTTGTCCTTGGATGGGAGACTGCCAAGGAATGCCGAGGTCACTGTGTAGAGGCGGGCAATGACAAACCGCCTCTGAACATCTCTTGCCTTGAAAACCCTCTGGGGTCACCATAAATCAGCAGCGATTCGATGGCACTTCCCACCATCACCCCTGGTGCGGAGGGTGGGGGTCTAAGGAATTCTGAGGAAAGTTTTAATAAACTTTCATAAAATTAGTGAATATTCTCAAGCAGGCTGCCACCACAAAATGGCTACCAGTTGCAAAATGGCTACCATGCAGGAGCTGGGAGCTTCCCCATACTTGCTTCAGTTATAGCCTGCCTCTTACCTGACCTAGATAGGCCGGGCTAGGCAGATCTCGGAAGCTAAGCAGGGTTAGCCCTGGTTAGTCTTTGGATGGGAGACCACCACAGAAGTCCAGGGTTGCTGTGCAGAGGCAGGCAATGGCAAACCACCTCTGAATGTCTCTTGCCACCTTTGAAAACAATACAGGGTGGCCTTAAGTTGGCTGCGACTTGATGACACTTCCCACTACCACAAGGTCTACAAAATAGCCTGTGGCCCCGGCCACACGTTCTGGAAAACGCAGGGGGGAGGTGTGGCTATTTGCGCCGTCGCATTCTGATCCGCCATTATGCGCTCAGACGCAATGGCGGCACACCAGGGTTTCGTCCTTCGGTGCGCGCTGCAAAGAGGATGGCCAGAGGGAATAGGCGCGCGCCGGTGCGATCGCACCGAACAAGTCCGTCTGCAGCCCGTGGCAAACCATGTGCTAGTAGATCTTTGCAGGTACTTTTTAACTGCGCATATTTGGCAGCACGCCACGGGTTGGCCATGGGTGCGCTACGGTTGCGGTGTGATCGCACCCCGGAAATCCGCCCAGCATTCATGCCTTTCGCACGGCAAATTCTCCGTGTGACCGGGGCCTATAGACCTCTTTCTGGCTCCTGGTGAATGAGTTATCTTAACTCTGTTTAGCCAGATTAAGCTACCTTATACTGAATCATTGGTCCATTGGAAGTCAGTATTGTCTACTCAGACTAGCAGCAACTCCCCAAGGTCTCAGGCGGAGGTCTTTCACATAACCCACTGCCTGCTCTTTGAACTGGAGGTGCCAGGGATTGAACCAGGGACCTCCTGCGTGCAAAGCATGTCCTTTTAGGTGTGCAAGAGCTAGTTCTGTTGATTTCCATCGGGTGGGTCCGCATGGGATATGCCTGAAGATTTGGGGATGGACCCTGGGTTTTTAAATTTGGGTTACTTCATTTAGCTTTGGATTCTACACATGAATAATAAGACGAATCCTCTCGCCACCTCTTAGGCGGTGACGCTGCACACGGATGTGGGAGACATTAAAATAGAGCTGTTCTGTGAGCGAACCCCCAAGGCATGTGAAGTAAGTAGTTCAGCTTCAACAGAGACCCCCTGAATTGTCTGCGCATAATGTGAGAAGCTGCCTCCCCCCCCC